TCTAGGCTAAAGATGTTTACCCATTGAATAAGAGACGTCAGCCATGGAATTTTGCCTTGATCGCACCAACCCACTGAACAATGAGTTTTTCTACAATGGATCTGTTCAAGATTAAAACAGTGTTTTTTATTTCGATGTGACAAATGGTTTTGTTTTAATTTGTAGTTTTGTTTTGTTTTTGTTTCTTTGTTTTTGTTGTTGTTTTGTTTTGTTTTTTCGCTGTTGTTTGTATTTGATGTAATGATGATATGTGTGATGATTGTTTCGTCAAGGTTATAATAAACAACTATTAGCCTAGTTTCTTGCGGGGGGACGGAATACAGCTAAGGGAGGAAATAACTAGTTTTCTTCGAAATAATCATTTTTTTGGGCAAGCCTATAGTAGTATAAGATCTTGAAATAAAAACCTTACTTAAGTTACTGTTATCATAATTATGTGCTTGTGAACTATTACACTAGAATAACGAAGCACTCTGAGTAGAAGTTTATTTCATTAAACGTTACTTAGCAAAACTAATATTTAAATTGTTTTTATATGGTATACAAGTTCTGTAAAAGCATTTTATTGAATCCTCTCAATCGTAGGTCGAATAAACATCAGCGCAAACTCTTCCCCCGTTGTCTCCCTGCTCTTTGTGATTCGCCAGATCTTCACCGTACCACAGACGTAACACTTGATTGGAAGACCAGCTAATAGGATTCAAGAAAACTGACAGAACAAGCTCAGGTGAGAGGGAGTTATACCCAGGAATCGTGTACCACGTCATGGTTACATCGCTGATGAACTGATTTGTTGGCAGTAGAAAGTGATTGCTTGAGTTTGTTATGATAACGTTGACTTGTCGATGAGTGTTTTTTGCGTTCCTTGGATCGATACCGCAGCCCCAGTAAGGCCTATAGGAAGACACAAGGGTGCTGCAGGATACATAACCGTACAGATAAACCAGCTTTATGGCAGCTAACTTTCCAGCTGGAGTGCTGAAGTTTCCAGACTTGTCACCTTTGGCCCCAAAACATACTGGAGAGCGATTGAGCTATCTGCCAGCGATCTGAAACTCAAACAAAGAATACATTAGGTACTAACGTCATACTATCTTCGCTACAACGGTTATTTGTTTGACCCTTCCACTGCCAAACGTGTCCAAAGTCAAATTTCAAACAAATTTTCAAACTTTACTTCGAAAAGCTGAAATACATAATGGTACCATGTTAAATTATTGCCAAAGAGGTCTTATTTTAATAGCCACACCATAGATTATTTCCTCCTCAGCGTCAAGGCGGCCATATTGGTGTAATAAACAATAAAACTTTCCTTTGTTTCAACTAAGGCCCGGTTCAGACGCCGAACTTTTCATGAGCCGAACCTAATACATTGAATTAAGTACATGAAAAGTTCGGCGTCTGAATCAATTAGGAACGCCTGTTTCAATTTGGAACGGCTCAGCCGTTCTTTTCGCCTGGCCCAGCCGGGAATTTCGCCTTTGGAGCGACTTTGGAACGGCTTTGATTCAGACGCCGAACTTTTCATGTACCGAACCTAATGCATGAATTATTTTAACGTATTTTGTAAGTAGTTTGACCGAAATGAGCATTTTTCTCCTTTTGAATTTAGTTCGGCTGGAATTAAGATCGGCGTCTGAATCGATTCAGCCGGTCTAAATAATTTGGGTCGGCCTTAATTCGAATTAGGTTCGGCTCATGAAAAGTTCGGCGTCTGAACCGGGCCTAAGGCATTTTTTTTTAAGTTCGAAAATTTAGAATACCAGTAATTGAAACCATTTTCTTTTTCTACCGTAAAGCAGTGATATTTTAAAAAATTCGAAAGTTTAAATAAAAGAAAAAGATTTAACGGCGGTGGGGTTGGTTACGGTCTAGCCTGCAAACACGCTCACTTGTGCGAGTTCATGGAACATTTTACGGGCATTAAGAAGAATAGGGCGAGGAAACATTTTTTCCCGGACTCGCAGAAGTGAGCCTGCTCGCAGGCTAGTTAACGCCAGACGCCCATCTCCTGTGTTATTTCATCAATATTATGAGCACCCAGACATGTAGTACTGCCTTATAGTAATAATAATAATAATGATAATAACATTATTGATGATGATGATAGTAATAACAATTATGATAATAATAACAGTCAATGTGTAACTCTTATGAAAGGTGAGGGTCGATGGCTACACCAGTTAATAAGCTTTTCACCTACTGATTTCTCTAGCCTTGCGTTGTCAATGGAAAAGAAGAAGTTTTTTTTTCCACTATGACTATTTAGTTTGGATTAACCAATGAGTAGATGCTTCGTCTTTTTGGTTTATCGCAGTTTTTTCGAGTAGGATGTGATGTGACAGGATATGAATTTGTGGTGTTGCAACATAAAAGTCAAATTTCACAACAATTTTGAAAACATAGGTTAAATTCTGAAATATTAATGTGTAAGGTGTCATTGTGAAATTTGACGTTTATTTTCTCACAATCTCTCATAGAAAATTTTCTTTGGTGTCATTACAGATAACTAATTACATCTGTAGCCCTTGAAAAATGTAAAAAAGAATGCAATATGCTTTAAATTATTCTGGTACAAGGCTTTTGTCTACTGAAAATTAAAATTACTCAATTTCCTGACGGATTCCGTCTTAATGCTTTATGAAGATAGCTTTTATTCATTTCCTTGTTATAACACATTTATTTCAGTACTCTTCATCTCACCTAGAGGGCTTTTACCTGGTTTAATAAAGCCTGATTATTTACCCCCCAATCATCGTATGGTGATTTTTTTTGGTTTCATTTCGTCGACTTTTAAACACCTTTTGGTTAGTTTCTCTTAGACTCCCATTTAGAGTTTGCTGTATTTCACAACAATTGGCCCGACCTGGCCAAGTAGTTGCGTCGGCCGCATAGATTTTTACTTCAGTTTCCTTCAGAAAAAGAGAGATCTTTCACGTATATAGAGAAGAGGATAGGGCCTAGAACTGAGCCCAACGGGACTTCTTCTGTCTAGGTTTGCCGTGAAAGTGACTGATGATTTGGAAGAATCTTCTCTTTGAAATACTCTGACTTGCACTGAAAATAAGTATAACGACATCGTTTCTGACTCTTTGGTACATTGTTCTTAGCATATATATTACTCTCTTTTTTGGCGTGCTTTTAACTTGTCCCTCACACATATTTGCTGAAGAATGCATTCAGTCAAAGATCCATTCCAGTAGTTCTTTGTTTTTCACTGGCCTTATAAAGTGAAAAGTAATATGCCGGCTTGTTCTAAATATTTCATGAACAGACCAGGCATTCCAAATTGTAAGTTTGTCGTCAACATCAGAAAAAGCATCGACTGCTGATCACCATGGAAGGGTATGAAGATAATTTGAAAATTCTTTCTCAGAGAAAGAATTCACCTACCACCTACTGGTGATGATGTTAAATTTGTGCGTAAAGCAGACGGGGTCAGAATGACCGCTTAGTCCGTACACAGGAACTAGAATTTCTGTGATTCTGCCCACATATGCGTGGTGTATATTAAATGACCCAATAAATCTGACTCTCCTTCATATTTACGAGTAACAGTGTTGAGAAACTTTTTCAAGTCTGCACCACGACATATCTCCTTTACCTTGCAGCTGCCTTTCGTTGTGTTTAGGACCAGTTAAAATAATTTCGTCCCAGTGACACGACGCTTACTTTCAGTTGCTGGTTTACAATTCAGTATACTGTAGGAGATGCTCGTAAGGTATCTCCTCATTGGTCGCAGAAAACAATAGAACAACATTGTTTATCATTATGTTCATTATTTTACGGTTAGGATAGCAAATCAATTGGCTTTTAGATTTAGGAGAGCTGGTGTAGTAGATTCTTACAAGATGATTACGAATGCGATGCTTGTGTAGTAGCAAAGACTATAAGGGGTGTTGACTTTGAAGATCTTTAGTGAATAATTTTTGCTTGTGTCATCTAGGCCTGAAGTTGATAACGATGTCATATAGAATGAAGAATTTACCGTAGAATTTGATGACTTATCAACAAGACCTCACAGAATGCAATGGTAAAAGTAAGTTTTTGAAATGCACTTTCGTCCCATTAATGCTAAACATGAACAAAATTTTATTGGACTTTCTTACTGACAGTACCATGCCGGCAGAAAAGGAGCTAATTATAATTATTATAACAAAACTTATTTATATCAACAATGACAACGAATATGAACAATAACCCCAAATCAACTAAAATATTTGCGAACGATGAAGCCGCGGGGTCTATCATTAAAAGATTTAGATTGTCTTGCTTTCACAGCAAATTAGAGCGATGGAAACAAAAACTTTAGCACTGAAGATAAATCGGTGTAAAAAACGTCCGAGAAATGGGAAACGATTTGGTTACACCGCTTTTGACTGCAACTGTTATTGTCATAACATATACGTATTACAAAGAAGAAACAAACCTATACGAGTTTCGTTCCCTTCCAGTTTGAACGTAAGGCAATTATAAAAATTTACAACTTGGTTTCCACTCCATGTTGCGGCACAGTGTAAGTCCAGGTTGATAACTTTTCCCCGCAGTAAATGAGTATCTTCAACACCGGCGTTCACCTTTAAAGAGGTAACAACTGTAAAGCTACAGTACTATGAAAAAGGAGCAAAAAAGGGGAAACTTGATTTACAACATTGATGTAAATGAGTTGAAAAACGTATTGCTCATCTTAGTATATCCACGAAACAAACAACTAATTCAAATTAGGTTGTAGTAGGTTGGGGAAATTTGTTACAAAAAATAGATATAGAGCAGTTCTATATTTTGCGGCAACGTTTTTGCAACCGACAAAACCGGTTTGACTTGCGGGTAGTAAAAAGCGCAAAAGATATTAATAGCTTTTCAACCCGTCTTGCAGCGAAGCAGTTGCAGAACAAGTTAGGCTCGTCATTAGTGCCCTTTTAACAACGGCTAACGTTAGATGTACAATGACTTTACGTGACTGTTTGGTGGTAGAGTTGTTAGATTAAGTATATTAAGCAACTTTGGTCACACGGTGGTTCTTCTGATCGCCTAGAAGGTATATCCAAGGTTGTCATTCATGATCAGAATCAATGAAGACTGGTCCCCATGTCACCCTTCGCAAAATTATAGATAACTGTATATCAGACTAAGGCGATACAACTTTTCCAAGTTGAAAAGAGATTTTTCCTTCTGATAGATGAAAACAACTGTTCTAAGTTTTAATCCATGCAGTTACCAAGAGACTGTTTAACCATTTCCCTTTCAGTTGTCCTTGTTACAATCGATAACATCTATGATATGTACAGGCGTATCTGTGGGTTATTTCAAACTCCTGACGGGCAAGAGAGGATTGGACTTGCAAAGAAATAGCACAATCAACAAATGATCATACCTGAAGGATATATATAGCAGTCAGCGAACTTCTGCTAATTGTAAACGGTTTGGCAGAAACTTTATAAACCCGGTTGGTAAACAAATGTTTAGAACCATGGAAACCCACAAACCAAGAAGATCCTAAATCCAAAGAACATGTTCCCATTTGCCAGTAGTTCAGCGAAATTTCCCTGCTCTGGCCAATGGCTAATGTGGGTAAAGGCCCACCTCTATTTTCACTGGAAAATGCAGTCTTCCTTTTGCAACCTAAGATTTAAAATTTATATTTTTTACTTCTTCCTTCTTCTCTTTTAAGCGTCAAAATTTCTCGCTCAACACCTTTTTGTCAAATGGTTGCTTTTCAAACAAAACAAAATACAACGTTTAGCAGAAGCCATTTACTATTTGATCGTGATTTTGTTCATGACAAAATTTCATACGTGAAAGAATGCAACTTGTTTACGAGGTTAACTTGCTCAACGAGAAGTCACCGCCTTTTCGAACATCTTAAAAATGAGATAATGCATCATTCAATGCCGGTTACGATTAATGGACTAACATCAAGTAATTCCAATGAAATTATCAAACTGCCGAAATATGATATAATCACTTGGTTACAAGATCATGCACTTCAACATTGGCCTTAGGGTTTGGTTTTCCGTGATTTTCATTGATCTTTATTTTTAGTATGGGAGACTGGCTATGAATTAAGTTACTGTTAAACGTTGTGCAGGATCAAGTCCAAAAACCTAACAAAACATTAAACAAAGAGGTGTGACGAGCTTCATGACTATTATTGTACTTTATTAACAATACTGTCTTAGTATGTTCATACCAAGATTGGCCCTTCGTTAGAAAATAGCAGGAAATCCTTCGATACAAGCGTGCGACAATAAGATATCGGGTGTGAGTTTAAACGCACGCATGTTTTTTGTTTCGTTTGTTGGTTTTTTGTTTTTGCTTTTTGTGGGAACTTCATTCATTTTGTGTTAGTTTTTAGAAGTGGTGTTTTTGTTTTTGTTTTTTGTTTCTATTTTTTCTCTTTGGTTAGTATCATTCAAGTCATTGTATTGCATTTTCAGATCCTAATCTACTTCTTCACCAGACAGCGTAAATATTAGGCTAAGATAAAGATGATTAACTTAAATGCGAAGATTTGTTTTTTTAGTTTCTGAAATCAGAAGTCTAAGAAATCTAAGTAAAAAAAAAAATATTAACATATTTAAACGTTTTAAAAAATCTAAAGGGCAAATGCAACGGTTTTCAGTCGCACGTGCCGCAAAAAAGGTAAATACATACATACATCCTTTTTTTCAAGGTATCATAAAAAAAAAACAAACATACAAAAATAACACCCTGAAAAGGAAGATAAAAAGGTGTACCTTATATTGAGAGGAATAAAAATTTTCATAAACATAAATTATGATTAGATTACCTTTAGGTTTTGAGGCGGCTTCTGGAATGAAAGTGGAATTTCTGCTGATTAGTCCAATAAGACTTTCAACCTTTTCTTCTAAAGACTTTACTCCATCCCTGATGCTAGATGTCTCGTTGTTTAGTCCACTAATACTCTCCACCTTTGGTGCTAAGAATTTCACACCATCGCTGATGCCAGAAGTATTGTTTTTCAGTCCAATAAGACTTCTCCATCTTTGTTTCCAAGGACTCAACGGCAACGCTGCTGCCGTAAGTTTTGTTGTTCAATACATTAAGACTCGCCACCTTTGCTTCTAGGGAGTTTACAGCATCGCTAATTTTACAGGTATTGTTGTTCAGTCCAATAAGACCTTCCACTTTTGCTTCTAAGGACTTCATGGCGCGCGAATCCTGATTTAGAGTGCATTGGCAGTTGCAATGGTTAACTGGCGTCTTGTTACAGCGAGGCGTTTGACTGTTATTTGCATTGGCCAACGTATTTGTCGCTCCATTGACATGCAACGTAGTACCCATCATTAAAAGCAAGATAAATGACATAAATGACAAATGCATCATAAGAAGAGGTTTTGACGGTGCTTTGCAATTGAAGTAACAATTGAAGGCCCGATAGTTTGTTTATCGTAATTACCACTCCCTTTGGCCAGCAGCAATTCCTCATTTGCGTAGAAACTACGCAGACGTTATTCAGGCAATCTCGTCGCCAGAGCC